ACGGCGCGCCGCAGTTCTTTTTCTTCCAGTTGTTATGCAGGTCAGCGTCGACATTTACGGCTGATACGAACGATATGATACGGATTTGACGCCCAGAAACGACGACGAAGAAAAAAAATGGGCTGGCGTGGCGCCAAACCTCTCCCCTTGACACGCCCAAGCATCCGCAGTGAACAAGACTACACTTACTTAGGCACAACAACCATAAGTGTTTGCAGATATTCCGAGTTGAGAACAAAGTCTTCAGCTTTGACAATATCAGCAAGGTCCTTCGTTATTAACGATCCACTGAAAAGATAAGAATAGAAAATGTACTTTATCAGCAATAGCAGACTCTTAAATGCCTAAAATACCTAAATTGAAACCTACTCGTAATCTAAACCACATCAGAGTGGTTCTAAAAAGGAGTAAAACACTGTTGATGGGGCAAATGTAGTTGAAAGGTGCCACACAGCAGCGCATCTGCTTCTGCTCTGCGAACCTAGGCCGCGGCGGGGGTGTGACATTAGATCGTGCTCACACTACGCGATCGCTTGGAGTTGCGAGGTCGAATCGCTCCAAACGCTTGATGGCCGCGACCAGAGATCTGACTGCGTCCAAGCGATGATCAAAAGGGAAGTTGAAGGGCCAAAAAACTTTCATTTTGCACGGCACTGGACGAGCATTGTTGAGGGAGTATTCCGGCCGCTGGCTTTGAGGCAGCAGACCGCTCATGTTAAGATACAGCACACTTTGTATTGTACAATAGTACCCCTCGTTTAGTTCAAGCCTCAAGCATGGAGCGACAGTCACTCGTGGCACTTCGGAAGTTAATTGAATCTTCTGCAGTCAGTGTTTGGAATTCTATTATTTTTTGAGTAGAGTTTTGTTCGCTGTGCATGAAAGAGCATGTGAAAAGGACGAGTTTTTAAGGGCTCCAAACCGTTTTCCGCCTATTCTTTTCGCTTATCCTCTACCGATAAAAGGAAGCGGGTTTGGCGCTGCGCCAAACCCGCCGAGCATGCCCTTTCATCCTCTGCGTATCAATTTATGCACTTCATTGCTGTACTTCTATCTGCTTTTATTTTTACCGCGTGTTTCACTCAGGAAGTTCTCTCTTTGTGGTCATCGGCGAACTCGTTCGACTTGAAAGCGATTTCTGCAAGCATGGAGCCGGGGTCCCTCCCTACCTTGGCCGGACGTCCATTCTGCCATCTTGTCTGCGATGGTCAGCATCTCAATGGAGACCTTATTAGAACTATGATAAAGTAAGTTTAGAGGCATCCCTCCCCGATACAATTATAGCTGTAAGCGTTGTTTGAAGGTACTTCCTTGGCGACGAAGCGGGAACAAAAGAACTGTCAGAACGCCTCAGGGCATTATGTCCGAACCTGTATTCAAAGGTGATTTTCCTGATTGAATAGCAAGCTGTCAGATTTGTCGCATTTTCTTTCGTAGGATGATGCATGTGTGACGAACGCTATGGAACAGCTGAAACTGGCGTCTGTAGCGAACTCAGCAGCTGCTCGAAGGAACCTCGTAGATCGGGCGTGCGAGCTGTTTCGCCAGTCCATTGGAAAGGTTTCACTGCCGGTGGTATGCCGCAGTTTGGCTGAATGTAAGTACAATGTTCTGCTTTTATATCACTTTTGTTGATTTTCAGTTAAATTGCAGTGAATGCGTTCGAGCATCTGGCGGATTTGTGTTTGCTGAAGGCGAAGCGAGACGATCCCAAGCAACTAGCGCTAATTGCATACCGTCATGGTCGTGGCGGGGAAGATCGTGAAATGCAGGCTGCAGAAAAACGACGAGCAGAGAGTTACAAGTGAGCTGGCCATTTTCATATTGTCATATTATTGTAAGACTCGAAAACTCTGCCAGCGTGGATATTGAACTGATTTCATGATTTTCAGGTGCATCACGGATACGCTAGATGATTTGGAAGTAGCTGCCTCAAAGCCATCTCCGACATCGGCTGAAAGCGTAAGTCTAGATAATATGATCCCTGCAACAAGTACTTCTCCAAGTTTTTTTTTTTTGGGGGGGGGATGGAAAGAGGGCACCAAGTCGGCTAAGGGATCATTCAAAGGCCAAATCTCGCGATTGCACGCTATGGTAGGGCGGTTCAATAAGCAAACCTTTTCGCCGGAGTATTTTCCCAGGGATGAAAGCAGCGAAATCATAAAAAGCATCACAGAAGGCCCCTAGGCATCCCTCAGTACTATCGTTATGTGGCGAAGCTGCTCGTTGCAGGCCAAACTAAGCGCTACTCCCTTGCCGTCTCTGACATATCAATAATTTCTTCGTGTGGGGTAATCCTAGAGACTGAGGGCGAGACTACTTGTACAGGGAGGGACGCTTACGAGTTAATTGAGCGCTCGGACTCTCTCTTCCAAAAGGAGAGGATGATTGTTAGGCTGTTTGATTGGATGGAGCTAGGCGTCAACTCGCCCGGTAAAGGGAGATGCGTGTTAGAGTCTCCCCTGGAGTCAAATGATCTGACCACAGCTCACATCCTTGTGGTAACGTCAGTTTGCATGAAGTGTCCTTTGAATCCCTTCTACCCTTCTAGTCGAAGGGCCAAAGGAGAGAGATAGATATTTTTATAGTGTAGTTCTCTGCGGACGGTTGGGCGTGTCAGTGCGGCTGCGTTTGGCGCGGTGCCAAACCCGTTCTCCACCAGTTTTTAAAGCGAGCAATATGACTGTATCATATCGTTCGTATTACTCGTTTTCTACCACTTTTTGTCGCATGCGCGCTTCAACAAGAAGGCAGAGAACGGCCTTGACGCTGTGCACACTCATACTGGCTGACACGCCCAACCGTCCGCAGCGAAGTAGAGTGTAAAATGGCTTTCTTATGAAACGCTCGAAAAGTCGTATTTGCATTTTTATAACCAGTGTGAACAATATTTGTTCGCTAGTCGCACACGTTACACATCACGAAATGATAAGGATCCACTAATCGAAGCTCTGTTACTTCTTGTCGGTGATCTTTTCAAATACTGCAGCAATTCGCTTTACTCCTACAAAAATTTCACTCAAAATTTTGGAAGGAAGACGCCAACATAGCACAGTGGAAGACGGACAAGACAATCGTATTTGCCGTGCCGTCGCGCGCGGCGCAATGTGCGGACTTGAGCGGCGAATTCCCGATGTGCACCAGGTTATTACCGTTTAGAGGAGCGAAATACAAATGAATTCAAGCGGAGGCAACTTCATTCGAGATAGCTGTCAGTCCCGTCTCTTCGGCATTCGCATTCAAACTGCCGAGCATGACAAGTCGTATCCAGTGTGAACGGCGTCGCAGGCCTCGCTCACCGCGCTATATTACGATTGTCTGGTCACATACTGTAGCAGGGTCCAGTACATTACTCTTTAAGAAGTAGATGACGTGTCGTTGAAGTCACCTCACACGTCAGTGATCCACCTTAAGGTGTCATTGGTAAACCTGCTAGGTGACAGGTGGTCTATCAACACAGCTAGTGAGCAATGGACCTGGGCTGCACCTGTTTCTAGAAGGGAAACATGTTCTTCATTTCTCGGCGCTGTTCGGCTTAGGAGGGGCATTTTGCCCTTTCACCAGCTCGTTTGCTAGTTTATGTTAACTAACAGGTACTCCTTTGGTAAGACTTGTAAACCCTCGCGAGTCTGCGAAATGTTGCAACTTTGGCTACAAGAATTTACAGGTCTTTACAAGACGACCTGTGCAGGTTTCAGTCAGTTCCAACTGGTGTCCCCGTCGAGCCGAACTGAGCCCTTTAACCTTTGAAAGCGACGAGTTTTGCATGTAGAAGTGAAATTACCATCTGGCTTAACGTTTTTTGTCCAAATCTCCTTCACTGTTTTTCCCTCAGCACATTTGACGTGGTAAATAGCAAAGTAATGACGATGACCTTCTGGGATTTCTTTGTTCTATAATGAGAAATTTAAAATAAGTGTAAAATTTTCATGGAAAACGTAGACATCTGCAATGCGCTAACATCATTAACATCGTCCAATACCTGAAACCACATTCGTATCGTTCCAGTCTCACCAGGTTTAATAAATCCTAACGGAGGCTGAACACGGAAAATGTCGGCAGACGTGCATTTAACCTAAAGTTGCGTAATATGTAGAAGGCGGGGGCAAAAGTTATCGTGTTAGCTAGTTTTGAAGCCGCATTAGTAATGCTGTTAATGCACTTAGTGCTTTACAGGGACACGTCGCAGGTCGCTCTTCCCTCGAGAGATCCTGGTAAACGACCTTGTTTCCCCTTCTAGGGTGCCTTCAGCTGCCCTTACTAAGTACCTCTAAAAATAAGCCCCTTTCGGGCATATTCGGCATTTAGTAGAGGTCTCGGACTGTCTGTTGAGGGGAGTTTTGGGGCTATGTGTCTTGGGAGAGGCCACTCGCCTGCGGTCCATCATTTCTGTTCCGGTAGGGTGTGGTTAACCCTGGCGAGGAAGGCCTCTTCTGGGCCACATAGCGTCTAACTTTTTGTGCAATGCTGTGATTAACTCAGGACGATCAGTTCGAAAATCAGAGCTCCTTCCCTCCTGGGCTCAGGCAAAATTCCGCAAGACCGTTTCAAGACCGGCG